CCCTGCCCGGAGACCCATCATGCCGGTGCCACTGGCAGCGGGTATTTTTTTGAAAAGCGAATTTTTTTTCCGTGTCAGGAGACCGGGTTTCCTTAAACCTGCCGCCACCAGCCCCACATCGTTCCTGGACACTAGGGATACCGGTGTATTTATGCAAATCCATGCAGCAAAATGTTTACTTCACCCCTTTGCTGCAGTTTCCCTGCGTTTACAACCTTTAACCAATTACGCAATTAAAATAAACCCAGAACAATAGCTCCACTTGCTTGTGCCTCCCTCTAGAGCTGGCGCTTTGCAGGAGTGGAAGCGTGCCTGGCTCGGTGGCGGGGAGGGGGGAAGAGGAAAGGAAAGCCAACTAAACCCGCCGTACAAATCCCGACGCCGGGGACGGCTGTTCCGGAGCGGTGGGTGCGGAGCAGGGCCCCAGTCCGAGGCCCCTGGATGTGACTTTCCGAGCGGGGCCCCGGCTCGGTCCCTGCTCCGTCGGGAGCACGCTCGTTTCTCGGGCCGATAATATAAATTTGTCGTGTTTGTCGCAGCGGCTGGCGCGTCCCTGCGGTTCCCTTCACGGAACCATCACTCACGGGGGCGTGAGGCGGTGGGGAAAAAAATGACGCAGAAATCTTGGTAGGGTTTTATACTTCATACCTTAGCCCTCTGCCTGCTGTTCCTAAAAAGGACTGCTCTCGGCCGTCCTCTCAGATACCGCGGTCCGCGGGACCCCGCCGCGGAGCGGGAGAAAGGGGAGGGAGGGAAGAGGGGGAGATAAATTAAACCGTTTTACTGATCAGAGCGGACTTCTCTTCCCGTGGCTGCGGGCAACGGTACGGCAGGCTCTGCCCTCGCCGGCTGCGGCCTCCGCTGGGAAACGCACCCAAACCGTGCCATAATACTTAGGGGGAAAAAAATGCCCTTTTTTCCGTTTACGCATGGTTTGGGACCACAGGCCATTACAGCCCCACGCAAAGCCACAAAACCTTTGCATTTCTCTGCTCGTCCGCCATCCGCGGGGGGAGCTAGGCCTGGTGTGGCCGCGGTTTGCATGGCGGGGCTGGAAGCCCCGGACCGGTCGGGAGT